GCTGTGTGTGTCTGGGGCTGCAGTGTGTGTCTGTGGCTGCAGTGTGTGTCTGGGTGCAGTGTGTGTCTGTGGGTGCAGTGTGTGTCTGGGTGCAGTGTGTGTCTGGGTGCGCAGTGTGTGTCTGGGTGCGCTGTGTGTGTCTGGGTGCGCTGTGTGTGTCTGGGTGCGCTGTGTGTGTCTGGGGGTGCTGTGTGTGTCTGGGTACTGTGTGTATCTGGGGGTGCTGTGTGTGTCTGGGGATGCTGTGTGGGGGGTGCTGTGTCTGGGGGGGTGCTGTGTCCAGGGGCTGTGGCCGAGGCTGTGTCTGGGGGTGCTGTGTCTGGGTGCTGTGTCCGGGGGGGGCTGTGTCTGGGTGCTGTGTCGGGGGGTGCTGTGTGTGTGAGTGAATGTATTTTTTTATTTAAATTTAAATATTTTTTTTTACTAATAAAAAAAAATAAAAATAATTATTATTATTTCCCCCCCTCCCTTCTTACCTTTATCCTGGGAGGGGGGGGGGAGGAGATCCGTTCTGCCATGGAGGGAGGGGAGCCGTTCTGCCATCCTTCCCTGGTGGCCCAGTGGTGAGAGTGAACTCTAACCTGCAGGTTAGAGTTCACTCTCGCGAGATCTGAGCGTTGCCACGGCAACGCTCAGAATCCCGCGAGAGGAACCGGCGGAGCTGCTTGTTAGAGCTCCGCTGGGTCCTCTCTCCTCCCTCCCTCCCCCACCCAGCCTGCGGCCGCATTTCCATGCCTCTGGGCCGGTGAGGGAGATCTTTGATCTCCCCACCGGCCCACGGAGGCACATAGCAGGGCCGGCGCTCGGGTAGCGCTGGCCCTGCAGGGGCCGGCCGGGGAGATCCCCTGCCAGCCTCGGCCCCACGGCCATCGCGGCCCACCGGGCATTTGCCCGGTATGCCCGATGGCCAGTCCGGGCCTGGTGGATAGGATTGGGCTTATAGCTAAGATATTCCTGTTTTCAATTATCTCTGGACTTCATATTTAAAAGAAGAAAAACTACCACAACAAGAGGACATAGTCTTAAATTAGAGGGGCAAAGGTTTAAAAATAATATCAGGAAGTATTACTTTACTGAGAGGGTAGTGGATGCATGGAATAGCCTTCCAGCTGAAGTGGTAGAGGTTAACACAGTAAAGGAGTTTAAGCATGCGTGGGATAGGCATAAGGCTATCCTAACTGTAAGATAAGGCCAGGAACTAATTAAAAGTATTTAGAAAATTGGGGAGACTAGATGGGTCGAATGGTTCTTATCTGCCGTCACATTCTATGTTTCTATGTTTTGAAAATTCTCCTAAAAGTTTTTTAAAAAGCGGTCATTTAATTGTGTCACCATTATAACATCACTATAATGTCAGTTATCCTCTAAAAGTCAGCATTCTCAATGTAATATTCTGATAGTGAATCCTTTGTAGCAGTTTATCTTTACGCCATCTTCTATCAGTAAAAATTGGTGGGAAGGTCCTGTATAATCAGGGCGTCTAACATTAGATACTTGGGTCAGTTCACTAAACAGCACCCCAGCGAGAAATCCTGTCTAAACTTAGACCGAGATAGCAGAGTTGTAGTAAATCATCTTTAGTTCTGATAAAGTTTAGATTTTTTTATTTTTTTTAGTTCAACTCCATTATTTGATTATTACATTTTCCAATGGTTTCTCACTCTTTAGTGAATAGATCTATTAGTTAACTAAAATCCAAGCACCATATAGATTAATGAAGTGAATGAACAGGCCCAGTGACAATTGAATGTAGAGAAGGGGGAACAGATGGTATTTCAAACAAACGGCTTTTCAGGATGAAGAGTTATTACATACATAATAATAACTTGGTAACAAGTCTGTTTGGCCACTTGTCAAAATGCCAACATGATTTTAATTGAGAACATGATTTTAAGTTGTTAAGCAGGTGTCTGAGCACTTCTGATGATTACAAACCCTTTCAGCCATAGGAGTTCTTAGGGCGTTCATCCGTGCACCCCATTTCTCTAAGGACAAAATTGCAGGATTCCCCACTCCTCTCAGCATAATGGCAGCTGATCTAAGTCTGTTATTTTAAAATAATATACACCTACATACAAATCAGAATACACTCATTTGTACATACAAATCAGAATAGACACATTTGTAATAATTTTCTATGGAAAAAACATCAACTATCAATGACTTTTTTTTACTCTGGCCAGTAATCACTTGGTGCGCTGTAATGTAAGTGTCTGCGCATGTGCTTACATTAAAATCGGAATTGCAAAGTATTGAATCTGAATTACAAAATTTAGGCAAAAACTTCTGCCACTGTTAAATTTTTGCCTGAATATTGCTAATTGATTTCAGATTCAGTACCCTTTGGTGTTTGGTGAAAAAATGGGACCTGAGGGTCATTAGGTCCCCCCATTATTTAATTATTTAAGGTCCCCACCCGCCGGTCATGGGTGGGGACCTGGGGGGGGGACATTAGGTTCCCCTCCCCTTATTTATTTATTTAGGGTCCCCCACCCGTAGCTCATGGGTGGGGACCTTTGGGGGGACATTAGGTCTCCCCCATTATTTATTTAATTAGGGTCCCCACCTGCCACTCATGGGTGGGGACCAGGGGGGGTACATTAGGCCCCTCTGTATTTAATTAGGGTCTACACCTGCCGCTTATGGGTGGGGACCTGGGGTGGACATTAGGTGTCCCCTCCCCTTTAACTAAATATGGCCCCCACCCGTGGGTCACAGGGGTACCTGGGGGGGTCACTTGGTTCTCCCCGTTTCTATTAAAAGCCACCACCCTTGGGTCACAGGTGGGGGCACAGGGGGTACTATGTCCCATTTTAGTTATTTGTGTCCCCCCCCCTTATTGCACTAGCGACTGGGCATGCGCAGTGCTATTTACGTCCTAATGGACGAAAACTAATTATTTTTTTACCGGATTTCATCCAAAAAACAAATGGTTTATTATTTAGTACGAAATTATTCGTACAGAAAGAAAATTTCACTGGTGCACATGTCTATCTACATTCAATCTATCTATTTTCACAGTGCAAAGCGTACACGCCTCCCACATCATGTCACCAGTGTCACAATACTCAGAATTGGCATGACACCTCCACATCTGCGCCCCCTTCCCATCCAGCTTCATACCTCCCAGTGTCAAATGGTGTTACTTCACGAACATATGTAAAAATAAAATGTAATAAATGAACTAAACTGTATAGATGTATGTAAATATAAAGTGCATTAAACACTAATATCTGTGATTGAGTTGGGAAATTCTTCAAAATCGGTTATTTCGGTGTAAATTTTGTAACTCCGTTCTCAATTTTCCACAATTCACAGTTTAGTGAATTTAGTTGGCTTTAAACAGTTCAGTGTCCAATTATGTTCTTTTACATTTTTTTTCTGTTCTGAATCAATGTTGATATCCTTATGTAGAGACCAGGTGATGCCTTTTGAGGGAATTGACCTGTTTTGCTTTATAATACTAAGCACTGGACATCTGTTTTCATGAGCCTCTGGAAGTGCTGACGTAAATGTGTAACAGTTGTTCCATCTCTCTAGTCAGTGAGTTCTATTAAACAAAGCCAGCCTCTTATACAAATGCCATCTATTTATATCCTCTCGGCATTTGGTCCTTTTTAATATTGTCACATTGAGATTGGACGTTACATATGTTGGGATTGTTGTATTTATAGATAGACTTTAGCGCTTATACTTTACTATAGAATACATTACGTTTGTTTTATTTAGAATGTTTAGAGAGTTTGCACGTGTTAACTAGCCCTATCCTCTTTACACCTTTCAGAGACACCTATTTCCTATTAATTTCTTGTAGATTATGTTAACACTACTTACCTTTGGTTAAAGGGACACTCCAGGCACCAATACAAGGTTAATGCATTTGACAGGTGTTGGCCTCATTAATATGATGTATTTTTTTGCACGCTGAAATCTTTATAGTTTTTGCCCAAAAAAGTAAAAAATTTTCAGAATTCTGTACCATAAGCCTGTCTCTTCAGCCACACCCCTCACTCCATAAAGACTTCCTTATCAAATTTATGCACACAGCTCAGTCACTGTCAGTACAGAATGATCTGAACTACTAAACAACCTGCATTAGGAGGAGATAACATCCAGTGATACATATTGTAAGGATATCACTACCTGTTTGTAGTGTCTCTGACTGTCTGCAGGCAGGTTGTGAAATAAAAGCCGCTTACTCTGTGCATTTAGGTCCGAGACCGCGTGCATGGCCTCCTCCATGATGGTAGACGTAAGCCGGCAGCGTACATTGCAATTTATAAGCAACTGCAATGTTTTACATTACAGATTTTAAACTGAAGTACCACTGCACCCACGCAACTGCATTGAGATGAAGTAGCTTGGGTGACCTTAGTGTCAAGAGGACAATGATTGGCTGGGTGTGGAGTCGTGTCAGCAGCTCAACTAACACTGGTCTCTCATTGGCTGAGATGAGAACCCACACTGTGTACTTATAATAAGGAAGTTGCTTTGTGAAAAGAGGAGACATGGCTAACGGGGCCGAGCTAAGTTACAGAAACTAAAGTGAGTTGAATGTGGAGAAAAACACAATGTGACTATCAGGCCAAGGCACTAAAGTTGTGTTGTCCTTAAAGAGCCTCTTTATTAATGTGATATTCTTGAATCTGGAAAACTAGATGCTCTGATAGAGTCATACCGTGATACAATGTTTTGTCAGAGAGAGTGAAACTTTCTGTGTCTGTGTGCTCCAGTATATGGGGTAACTGTATCCAGAGATTCCTGTGTGCCATACGGAATAAAGTCCATTCATGATGCCTGCTGAGCTGTGACATTTGACTGTTTTCTATACATGCCTGCATTTGGGTGCCTCCCTGTATATATTCATTATATGATTAGGTTAACAGTTTGCTCTGTACTGCTTGCCTCAGCGTGTTCTGATTTGTTCCTGGCCGCACCTCACTAATCCTTGCTATCCCCCCCTCTTCATGTACTGTCCCCCGCCCCTGTGTAGAGCACACATTTACACATGCATGCTTGCACACACACACATTCTGGCACGCACATCCTTCTGCACACACACATTGCACCGGGCTGCAAGACAGGCAAGATCAAGCGGAGATGGCAGCTGGGGGTAACCTGAAAATGCTTCGTTTGGGGAAGAGAGGATGGGAAGAGGGCATCTACCCTGACATGCAGGTAAGTAATATCAATACGAAGAATGTTACGTTGTCTGGATAATTCCACTCCGTGTGCAGATATTCCACTGATAAAATCCATCCTAGACAGGTAGGTACACAGGTAGGTAAATGCCTAACTATACCGGGGAATTATAGACTGCAGTCCAAAAATGTTTGGGCTGGAAATGAAAACTGGTGCCTGGATACATAAAGTTATTTTATAATATCCACCCTCCTCCATCACAATAATTGTAAAGAGAGTCAGGTCCTTAATGTTTCATTATAGAGGAGAAACAAAAAACTTAAACGGCACAATATATTGTCATACAACATTAATCAATAAAAATATTCAGAATTATAGCTGGTTTTAGCAATGTTGTAGAAGCAGCTCATATTCTTAAGCCATGTATTCTTAGCTATAAGCTCATGATATAGTGTGGCAGATTATGTTTTCTGTTCCGTTATCCCCTTTGGTACGTTGCAAGTTCCGTTAAAGTGCAAATCAATATTAGGTTTGTGTTTCTTTTGCCTGGTTGATATGATAAAACACGGACGGGCATTCCCAAAAGGTGTGCCAGGGGCATCTTGAAACGTGAATGCCAGCGTAGGTGGAGGTTCTGAAACAAAGAGACTGCGATAAGCTGCCATTGGATAAAGTAGGTCAGGGCTAGGGCAACTAAGGACATGAGTGAGGGGAATTGCTATGGCAGAAGCGAAGCGTTATGTAACTTACAGAGCTGTCAGCTGCGGGCAGGAGAATCGGAAAACGAGTAGTTATTCCAAGGTCGATATCTGCCGGAAAAGGTAAATTTACTATTTAGGATAAAGGCATATATAAAGGGTATTATAAGAAATAAAACGAGTTTTGGTTAAAAAAAATCTAAAAAAAAATCCTTCTTGACCTCAGAATGGAAGTCAGATATCTCCTTGGATCAAGAAGCTATTACCCCACTAATTAAAACTGATATCCCTGAATATTATTAATAAATATTCCTTTGACTGGAATCGTAGGTAACCCGTGCTGCAATACATTAATAGAACAATGTGATGTATGAGCATTTTAATGATTTGAGTGGAACACTGGGTCTAAATGTATAACACTGCTGTTGTGTTTTACTGGTTGAGGTGGCAATGACCATAGTTCGACTGGGTGTATAATCAACAGACACGTCAAGCAGCTCACGGGCTAAATACTATTCTATAATCTGTAATAATTTCTACTTTGCTCCAATGTTTCCAGTCTGTTACTGTCACCATTTCTGTGTTTGTACTAATCGTTGTGTAGGACTCTTTGTGTAGGAATGCCTTATTATCTGACAAAGTGTGTTGTGGAATGATCATCTATTACAGGTGTAGGCAACCTTTGGCACTCCAGATGTTTTGGACTACACCTCCCATGATGCTTTGTCAGCATTATGGATGTAAAATCATTATGGGGTATCTAGTCCACAATATCTGGAGTGCTGAAGGTTGCCTATCCCTGATTATTATATGCTATTTATTTTTGTGTCTGCAATGTTCGGATTTAACAGTTATGTAACGTTATCAAAATAAAGTTGATTGAAAACAGATCTTTTTAATTTCCATCATAAAATGAAAGATCCATGAAGATAAGACGTAGTAAGTGTGCTGTCACAAATCCTGGTGCTGTGTGCAATTGAGCAGCTCAAAAAGTAACATAGTCCCGAGTCGACATTCAAACTGTGCACTGTCTTTGCTCAGATAAGTGATGTTTCCAATCAAAGAGTGCTTCATAATGCCTGCCCCATAGAACAAACGTAAACTAAGATGCAAATTAAAAAGAGACACTTTTATCTACGCATTACAAAATAATTCTCACAAAGGCTATGTGTAATCTGTTATTTCCAAAATTAGCTATTAGAGTATTGAATTACGAAAATACTTGTGACTGCAACTAAGTCCGAGAACTTTTTCAGATTGACTAAAGTTTGGAGTTAGGATTTCAATTCAGTGCAATTTACTTTTTAGCTAATATTAATGTTGAGAATTCAGGGAGAGAGGTCCAAGTGGATTTCAAAATAACCAAACTATTAAGATTACTGGTTTATCCAATTTCTCCAGTTTGTCTGTTGTGGATTGTAATTTCTAGGGAAATTACAATTTAATGAACATATTGTCATGGTTTTTACTAAAGTGATAATCGCTGGGAATTCAACGTATATTCCAAGTGAATTTCAAAACTAAGGCCACGATAGCCGATTTAGAGAAACTCTCCAGGTCAGTTCTGTTTTTGTTATAGCTATTTTAGCCTTAAAGGAACACTATAGTCACCTAAACAACTTTAGTTTAATGAAGTAGTTTTATTGTATAGATCATTCCTCTCAGGTTTTACTGCTTAATTCACTGCCATTTAGGAGTTAAATCACTTTGTTTCTGTTTATGCAGCTCTTGTCACACCTACCCTGAATCTGATTGACACAGCCTGCATGAAAAAAAACTGGTTTCACTATCAATCAGATGTAATTTACCTTAAACAATTGTATCTATTTATCTGTAAATTGAACTTTAATCACATACAGGAGGCTCTTGCAGGGTCTAGCAAGCTATTAACATAGTAGGGGATAAGAAAATCTAAATTAAACAGAACATGCAATAAAGGAAGGATAAACTTTAAATGACTCTACAGGAAGTGTTTAGGAAGGCTGTGCAAGTCACATGCAGGGAGGTGTGACTAGGGTTCATAAACAAAGTGATTTAACTCCTAAATGGCAGAGAGTGCCAGAGTGACAGTGAGATTGCGGGAACATAATCTATACACCAAAACTGCTTCATTGCAGGGACACTATAGTCACCCAGACCACTTCAGCTCAATGAAGTGGTCTGGGTGCCAGTTCCCTCAGGTTTTAACCCTTCACATGTAAACATAGCAGTTTCAGAGAAACTGCTATGTTTACATAGCAGGGTTAATCCAACCTCTAGTGGCTGTCTTTCTGACAGCCGCTAGAGGCGCATTTGCGACTCTGGATGCGAAATTAGCATTCAGCGTGCAGAACGTCCATAGGAAAGCATTGAGAAATGCTTTCCTATGGACTGTTTAAATGGGCGCACGGCACTTGCTGCGCATGCGCATTCTGCTCCACTTGGGAGCTGACGTCGGCGGGGTAGGAGAGGTCACCAGCGCCGAGGGAGCCCGGCGCTGGAGAAAGGTATGTGGCTGAAGGGGTTTTAACCCCTTCAGCGCCAAGGGAGGGGGACCCTGAGGGAGGGGGCACCCTTAGGGCACTATAGTGTCAGAAAACGGGTTTGGTTTCCTGACACTATAGTGATCCTTTAAGCTAAAGTTGTTTTGGTGACTATGCTGTCCCTTTAAATTCGATATTTAGAAACAATTTGATTTCACTTCAAATTTTCCAGCTGAATTCCGTCACTCTAGTAAATATCCCTCCAACAGCTGAGACTAGTTGCCGTACACCTGTTTAAAGACTAAACAAAATGATGCACAAGTTGGGAAAAATTCGCTAGACTCCAAATGATAGAGCATGGGGAAACTAATTGCTAAAAGTTGGACTAAAATGCATGGGTGTATTTTGGGTAGACTTAGAGAAGATTGCCAGTATTTAAATTTCGCATTTCGTTGTTCAAGTCTTTACAGAAAGTTTTGTGGATAAACTTGGTAGTGATTTTAATTTCATCAACATATTAGGGTGACAGGGTCTACTCAAAGAGAGTTTTTTTTAAAAGGGTTCTATAAAACGTGATGATTATGTTCTATTCTTAGAGAAATTATGAAAGATTGCCAGTAATTTAAAGGAACAGTCTTAGCACCACAATCACTATAGCAACATAGTCGTTATGGTACCAGGAGTCCCCTGGCATCATCTCAAGGCAAGCTGTCAAACTATTTACTAATGGAATAATACCTGGATTTGTCAAGCATCACAAGTTCTCCTGACTTACACAGCCCAATTCATAATTCTGAATTCATGCCAACGTTTGGCCATTAGGCATTGGTTGAGAGCATCAACTGACACGTCACACGCTCAGCTAATGTATAAAGTCAAAGTTGGTATGCTAATACCAATGTTTTGTAGTGGTTATGGTGCTTAGAGTATCCCTTTACTCTGGTACCTTTTTAAAACACCACAAGCCACACGTGGCAAGGCAAAACTGAAGACGTTTTGTTAACAGCCAGATTAAAAGCTTGTAGCATTTTATTATGTTTTTAAACCAGTGCAGATTCTAGGGAAACTTTACATATGATTTAGATTTAATTTTTTCAATCCACTTATTTCTGAAGCAAAGTACGAAATATTATTGAGCCAAATCCTTGTGGGTGCTTGTCCATGACTTTTGCGTCAAAATTGCATCAGTTTTGCTAGCTGTGGCATTGTAGTACTGCTATGCATTGTGGGACATGGTTCTTAGCACTTGCTGAGTATATTGGGCAATATTGGACTATTGACATACTTGGTGGCTAGTGGCATAGTTGTGAGTTTTTTACGCAAATAGTGAAGTCAATGTAGGCTGCATAGTGCATGGCAGTGAGAATGTACATGTGGCTGGCTGTTCTATGCGGAGTTTTCTGGCAAACGTAGCTGTCCATAGTAAGGGTTTAGTTATGCAATGTATACTATGGGTTTGGAAGTGCGGCTGCTCATGGGTGGGACACTGTGCAATCATTGTAGGAGTGGCACCAGTCAGCTGGGAGCGTGTTTGGTGACTCTGTCATACCACGGCTCTTTGTAAACCAAATGAACCAAAATAGTAAATCTGGTATGGTGGTTAACTGCTCCATATTTAGGAACATGTCCCATAAAATGCTTAAAATGTAACATTTTTACTTCATTCTAAGAATCTATTACTTTTTATTCTCTTTTACTGTTTTGTGCCTGTGTGTGGACGTGTACTCTATTCTGTGCTGTAAGAAGTGACTAATGTACAGCGCTACAGAATGTGATGGCGCTATATAAATAATAAAATAATAATAAGGAAATCCAAATAAATCATACATCCTTTTTTTTTCTTCCAATTTTGATTTTATTTCTGTTGTGTATTTTCACCTCCCTTCCTCCAGAGGGCCCAGGCACACAATGATTCACCTTATAAAAAGCTGTGCATTGCTCTTGGTTGGCAGATAGTTTATTCCTCTGTATAGGAAGTGTGAAGTAGTTAACTGTTTGTAGAACCTGAGCTGTCACAATGCAGGTGAGTGCTGGCAACTTCTCACACTGGCCATTGCAAGTCACTAGCCACTGTCCTGTGATACATTGCAAGTCACTAGCCACTGATCTGTTATACATTGCAAGTCACTAGCCACTGTCCTGTTATACATTGCAAGTCACTAATCTGTTATACATTGCAAGTCACTAGCCACTGATCTGTTATACATTGCAAGTCACTAGCCACTGTCCTGTTATACATTGCAAGTCACTAGCCACTGACCTGTTATACATTGCAAGTCACTAGCCACTGACCTGTTATACATTGCAAGTCACTAGCCACTGTCCTGTTATACATTGCAAGTCACTAGCCACTGACCTGTGATACATTGCAAGTCACTAGCCACTGACTTGTTATACATTGCAAGTCACTAGCCACTGATCTGTTATACATTGGAAGTCACTAGCCACTGTCCTGTTATACATTGCAAGTCACTAGCCACTGATCTGTTATACATTGCAAGTCACTAGCCACTGATCTGTTATACATTGCAAGTCACTAGCCACTGATCTGTTATACATTGCAAGTCACTAGCCACTGTCCTGTGATACATTGCAAGTCACTAGCCACTGACCTATGATACATTGCAAGTCACTAGCCACTGACCTGTGATACATTGCAAGTCACTAGCCACTGACCTATGATACATTGCAAGTCACTAGCCACTGACCTATGATACATTGCAAGTCACTAGCCACTGACCTGTGATACATTGCAAGTCACTAGCCACTGATCTGTGATACATTGCAAGTCACTAACCACTGATCTGTGATACAGTATATATAAATAGCCACTGACCTGTGATACAGTGTTTTAGGAATAGCCACTGACCTGTGATACAGTGTATGTCACTAGCCACTGACCTGTGATACAGTATATATTAATAGCCACTGGCCTGTGATACAGTGTATGTCACTAGCCACTGTCGTGTGATACAGTAAATGTTACTAGCCACTATCCTGTGCAATATATAAGTTACTGTCCTGTGATAAAGTACATTTCACAAGCAATGTGCCACTAGCCCCTGTCCTGTGACACAGTGTAATTAGCCCCTGCGATACAGTATAAATCAATAGCCACTTTCCTGTGACAATGTGTCAGCCACTAGTCATTGTGCTCTTTAAATATCTAGTGCTATGACACTGTATCAATCACTAGTCAGTGGTAATGGCACTGTATCAGTCCCTATTCAATGGGCTGTGAGAATTTCTATGTCACTATTCACTTTTGTGTGACTCTGTATCAATCACTAGTTACTGGGTTGCAACACTGTATCAGTCACTTGCCACTGGTCCAGGGAGGTGACCGCTCTGGGGCTCGCAGTCTGAATACTCTGACTTTGTATACTGTCATCTCATGAGCACTCTGCTTCCGTGTATACTGCCCTCTGCTTAGCACACTGTTAGCTTTGTATACTGGCATATTTCAGGCACACTGCTAGCTGTGTATACTGGCATCTCTCTGGCACACTGCTAGCTGTGTGTACTGACATCTCTCTGGCACACTGCTAGCTGTGTGTACTGACATCTCTCTGGCACACTGCTAGCTGTGTGTACTGACATCTCTCTCTGGCACACTGCTCGCTGTGTGTACTGACATCTCTCTGGCACACTGCTCGCTGTGTGTACTGACATCTCTCTGGCACAATGCTTGCTGTGCCAACTGCCATGTCACACTGCTAGCTGTGCGCACTGACATGTTTCTTGCACACTGCTAGCTGTGCGCACTGACATGTTTCTTGCACACTGCTGTGCGCACTGGTTTCAGGACACACTGTTAGCTGTGCGCACTGACATGTTTCAGGCACACTGTTAGCTACTGACATGTTTCAGGCACACTGTTAGCTACTGACATGTTTCAGGCACACTGTTAGCTGTGCGCACTGACATGTTTCAGGCACACTGTTAGCTGTGCGCAGACATGTTTCAGGCACACTGTTAGCTGTGCGCACTGACATGTTTCAGGCACACTGTTAGCTGTGCGCACTGACATGTTTCAGGCACACTGTTAGCTGTGCGCACTGACATGTTTCAGGCACACTGTTAGCTGTGCGCACTGACATGCTGTTAGCTGTGCGCACTGACATCTCTCTGGCACACTGCTCGCTGTGTGTACTAACATCTCTCTCTGGCACACTGCTAGCTGTGCGCACTGACATGTCTCTGGCACACTGCTAGCTGTGCGCATGACATGTCTCTGGCACACTGCTAGCTGTGCGCACTGACATGTCTCTGGCACACTGCTAGCTGTGCGCACTGACATGTCTCTGGCAAAACTGACATGTCTCTGGTGATTTTCAATGTTCGCTTATCATGATGTTTCTGATAATATGCCTAGTAAGTGTAATTTTATCCCTTATCACCATGTGGGAGTGGCAGTAATATTACATGTTATTTTTTCACACTCCAATATAATTCTTGTATTAACAATGTATTGGGACCTCGTTCCCAGTTATCAATGTTTGCACTTTGTACCATTTTCCCCGTGTCACTGATTCTGTGTGTAAGCTATTTACAGTGGTGTTTTATTTCACACTATTCCTGGGTTGGTGTCTTGCAGGCTGGTGCAATGAAAGGTACCCGGGATGCTGCCCACACTGCTGCCAGGGAATTCATCAAATTCTTAAACCGGGGTGTCTCGCCATATCACGGTAAGGTGGGCTTGTTCACGTCGAATAGCCTTATCTTCATCATTCCAAGATATCATGTCCTATATCAGAATTAAGAACTTACTCTAGCCATTGGCATGTGAAAAATTAGCCCTGGTTATTTGTGGAGAACTGAAAACCAAACTGAATAATTTAGGCAAAAAGGGCTAATTTCTCAGCTTGACAATTTTAACAATTCGTTTTTTTTTTTTTATTTACTGCATCTTGCTGTTTAGTGAATAAATGAACCTGTGTCAGGATTAAACTATGAAGTGTTGATAACTGTTAATATGGGCAAACTCCATATTTGGGGAGGGGTACAATTAAAGGAACACTATAGTGTTAGGAATGCAAACTTTTATTTCTAATGCTACAGTGTCCCTGTCCCTAGTTCTATTTAAATCCACCAACGTGCAGCAATACGTAAAGGTAAACTATATTGCCAGGAAAACAAACTATTTTTACTGGCACAATAGTTGCCCCTTCTCTCAAGGCCCCGTAGTGCAGAAGGGGTTATAAACTCTCTTCGTCAGCCAGCGGGGGAAACCTAATGCGCATGCATGGCAATGGCCTCACTCACATTAGGATTTTCCCATTGAAAAGCATTACACAATGCTTTCCTATGGGGATTTGGGTGACGCTGAAAATCCTCATGCATAGCGTAATAGTGAGTAGGAGAGCATTGTATTAAATGTTTTCCTATGGGTTTCCGCATCACGTGACAGAATCGACTTAAGTAGCTGCCAGTAAGACTGCCACTACATGTGGATTTAATCCTGCAATGTTTAACATTCCAGGGTTAAAAGGACAGGACCACTGCACCCTGACCACTTCACTGAAATAGGTGGTCTGAGTGACTACAGTGTCCCTTTAACTGCTGGTGAAAGTTTCCCAGATGTTTCCATATTTGTAATCACTGTGGTTAAATTCTGTGTTAAAGCTGCAAACCAGCAGGTTTCAATGAAATAAATAAGAAAAAAATTGTAGAACTTGAATTTATCAACTTAATGCTATGAAATAGTAAACTGTAAAGAGAATCTTTGCCAAAATGAGCCTTATATGTGCATGACGTTCCTCTCCTTCTCAAACAGTGGTTGATGAGTGCAAGACGCGGCTTTTACAGGCAGGATTCCAGGAACTGAAAGAGGTGGAACACTGGGATATTAAACCCAACAACAAGGTAAACGTTAACAGCCAGAGCAGACTGACTTTTTTTTTTTTGAGAAATAATATTCTGTTTGTATTTGTATAATCACAGGAAGGTAATTCACACTTGCTTTGTATGCAATAAGTTTATTGTGATACAGGAACTCACATGATAAAAATCAAATTTTATTTACTTTAAAAAAATAAAAGAGAAAATATATTTTTAAGTCAAAGTCCTCAATGAGAACACACAATAGTCTGTCACATTTAAACGATCAAAATGTTGAAGAAAGATTGTGAAAAACAATGAGTTGATGAATTGTACGTAAACACTGTATTAGAAAAGATTTAATTGAACATTTTGGGGCTGTGGTAGATGATGTCCAGTGTGCCTGCTTTTCAAGTTGGCTTGTGGGAATAGATGGAATGCAGCGATAGCAGTCAGATCCGCCATATTTGTACATTCTGATGGACTGCATGGGAAAAGTGCAGTCCTGTAGTTTTATAAACAATATCTGTATTCACTGTTCTATCCAGCCTGTTAATGTGTTCAACGTAAGGATTACTAGCCAGATTCTTCTTCTTTCTCTAGTACTTTGTGACTCGGAATTACTCCACCTTGGTGGCATTTGCTGTGGGTGGTCATTATCAGCAAGGCAATGGATTTACCATGATCGGAGCCCATACTGATAGCCCTTGCTTGAGGGTGAGTAAAATATACATAATATAGTCTTCATTTTATTTATTTTTATGTACGTGTGTGTGTGTGCGCGCACATCTATATCTATTTATCTGTAGTAAATGTTTCGTTTGCAACTCTTTTCTACCGGTCTATTTTCAATCTCCTGTTCTGTGTTTCTGCAGGTAAAACGCAGATCCCGCCGCGGCCAGGCTGGGTATGTGCAGGTGGGAGTTGAGTGCTATGGAGGTGGAATATGGAGCACCTGGTTTGATCGGGATCTGACTGTGGCTGGGAGAGTGATTGTCAAGGTGATTATCTAAAAATCATGCTGCTTTAAAGGAAAAAGGAACACCCGAAACAGTGTCTATTTTTGTCTTTTTTTTTTTTTTGCAAGACAAACTAGTCATTACAAGATAAGGGTTACCATATATTGCCTCAAATGTGTTAACCCAGGCTTCTATGTTCATCTTAACTGCTATTTTAATGAATGTATTAAAGGGGACTCAATTCAGTGGAAGCTTGCTGAACAGTGAATTTTCCAAGTACCCCTTTAAATAATGGACCATGTGTTTGCTTTGCTGTCCCGATCTTTAGTACAGCTTCATAAAGGCCTGGTGACTCTAATTGAAATGTTCTGTATTTAGAGTGTCTTGACGTTTGTCCAAATAATTCTACATACTGATGTTTTGGTTTCAGGATGGTCATCGTCTTCAGCATCGTCTGGTTTATGTAGAGCGTCCAATTTTGCGAATTCCTCATCTTGCAATTCACCTCCAAAGGAATGTAAATGAAAGCTTTGGTCCTAACTCGGAACAGCATCTGTGAGTTTTTACAACTAACAGAGTAAATATACAAGTCCTGTTAAGATCTATTCCTTTCCACCTGAAGATAGCTAGGGTGTGTTTTTAATTTGTGTTTTTGTTTTTTGTTTTTCCTGTGTTTGCTTTGTGTCACTCTGTATGTCCCTCATTGCAGGCTCCCTATTCTGGCTTCTGCAGCACAGGAAGGTTTGGAGAAGGAATCTGTGGATTCGGGCTCCTCTTGTCATTCTTCAGCGGGGAGTCAGTCTGTGGTGAGACTCATAACTTGTATGGAAAGTAAATGTGCAGAGTGAGTAAGGTTGCCACATCCACCATGTTATCCTGGACACACACAATTTAATCACAGTGACTGTCAGCACATTAAGCCACAGCCCTGTAGTATGAATAAGTCATATGCTGCTGGATTCCTGATTGCTTTATCACCAGATTTACAACCTGCAGCATGTGACATCTACATACTACATGCTGTAAAAAATTGTGAATTTATCACCCTTGGTGTGAGCCTGACGTTTATAAGAAATGGCTGCTGTGAAAAGCAGCTCCTTGATTTGAAATATATAATCAAACAAACAAATGGTTAATATCCTCCAGACCCTTCTACCAACTGTAGAGATCTGGGGCTAAAACATCGAGGGATTTATTCTTCCTCCAAGTTCCCTCTTGCAACGCTTACGGGCACATGAATTGTATGCGTAGGGTGTATTATTCTGCTATTAAACAATGTCTGTATGTAATGCAGGTGGAAAAACATAACCCACTCCTGATTACCTTGCTCTGTGAAAAACTGGGTGTGAAATCTGAACAGATCATAGAGATGGATCTGTGTCTGACAGACACCCAACCCGCGGTAAGACACCCACATACATGCTGTATAGAGACCGTTACATGCTGTATAGAGACTGTTACATGCTGACATACATACTGTATAGAGACTGTTAGATACTGTATAGAGACCGTTACCTGCTGACATACTGTATAGAGTCTGTTACATACTGTATAGAGACTGTTACATGCTGACATACATACTGTATAGAGACCGTTACCTGCTGACATACTGTATAGTCTGTTACATACTGTCTAGAGACCGTTACATGCTGACATACATACTGTATAGAGACTGTTACATACTGTATAGAGACCGTTACATGCTGACATACATACTGTATAGAGACCAGTGCATGCTGACTTACATACTGTATAGAGACCGTTACATACTGTATAGAGACCGTTACATGCTGACTTACATACTGTATAGAGACTGTTACATACTGTATAGAGACCGTTACATGCTGACATACATACTGTATAGAGTTACATACTGTATAGAGACCGTTACATGCTGACATACATACTGTATAGAGACCGTTACCTGCTGACATACTGTATAGTCTGTTACATACTGTATAGAGACCGTTACATGCTGACATACATACTGTATAGAGACTGTTACATACTGTATAGAGACCGTTACATGCTGACATACATACTGTATAGAGACCATTGCATGCTGACTTACATACTGTATAGAGACTGTTACATACTGTATAGAGACCGTTACATACTGTATAGAGACAGTTACATGCTGACATACATACTGTATAGAGGCCATTACATACTGATGTGTATGCTGTATAGAAACAGTTGCATGCTGACATGTATACTGTATAGAGACCGTTGCATGTCCATATTGTAAAGTGATGCAGTGACTTGCTGACGTGTAAACCTTAACTATAAACTGTGTTCTGTCTGCAGACTTTGGGAGGTGCTTATGAAGAATTTATCTTCGGACCCCGTCTGGATAACCTGCACAGCTGTTACTGTGCTCTGCAGGTTAGCAATAGATTTATACTCTGCTGCCCAACAATTCTCTGCATATCCAAGCCTAGAAACATCTCTAAGCTATAGACTAAAACCAGGAATCATGGGAAACCGTGGCGGCTGGTGAAGTTTTAAATTGGTGGGGTGATAGACTCCTCCCCCAGAATTTTACGCCATCCTATACAGTAGAGAGATAAACATAATAGAGATACTTATAGAATACAGAGATACTCATAGAATACAGAGAGATTAACATAATACAGAGATACTCATAGAATACAGAGAGATGGACATAATACAGAGATACTCATAGAATACAGAGAAATGAGTGCAATACAGAGATAACATGCCACAAACAGAACTGAGAAAAATAGAGATCTAATACACAGAGATCCCTAAAGATACCAAAACCATGCACAGAGCTGGGTAGACTACAGCGATAGCCATACAACCGGTAGAGCTCAATGGAAATTCCTTCTTATAGGACGCTAGGTATGTAAAAAACCTGCTGAAACAGGGCAGATTTAAACTCAGCCCCATTATTTTGACATACCTTGATGCTGCCAAGTAAACTTCCCCAAATGTTAACCAATGAGGGGGAGGGAGCCTGTGGAACTGAAACCTATTTCAGAATTAAAAAGACGCAAATTTATTTCCTTTTTTTGTTTTTTGGCTTACCACCCTCCTCTCCAGAAAAATAATCTTAGTCTTTCTAAACTACTGCAAATAACTTTTTTCCCTACTTAAAAACTGGTGGGGCACTGCCCCAAGTGTCCCTATGGAAGGGGGGGGGAGGTTAAATGCATCAATGCCCAGCATTGATTTCTGGGTGTTGTAGTTTAGCACTCTACATTATAAAATTGACAGCTGAACAATTCCCAGAAACCCATGCTATGCTGATACTAGAGGGATCGACCACGGCCATAGAAAAGTGGTTTCCTGATTTCCCGAGCCACTTCCTGATCTAAGCCAGAAAATTGTAGGATTGTTTAAATGGGCGTATCTTACCTTTTTACTGTGATCAATTTGTTGTAAATGCAAATACCATATTTACTCGGATCCAATGCGCACTTAAAACTATGGACACTTAATTTTGCCAATAAAGGTGTGTATTAGATTTGGGTAAATACAGTATAGTGTATGTGGTACAGTGTTTTTTTTTTTTGTTTTTTTTGTTTTTTTACTACTACTCCTTTCTCCATTTGTTTGATGGGATAAAGAATATCCCTTCTCTTACAGTCACTTCTGGTTTTTACCAACTCCTGAAGCTTTTTCTGTTGTCTACATTACATTTTCGCCCAGTCTGTCACCATCACAAATCACCACACTCTGTCCCTCAGGCGCTGCTTGCTTCCTGTGACGCACTGACTTCTCTCGCCAATGACACCAATGTCAGAATGATCACCTTGTATGACAACGAGGAGGTAAGGACACGAAAGCTGGGGGAGGATGAGGGGATGTGACAACTGCCATTGGGGATGACACTGTGACAGTCATATACACAGTGACAAGATTAATTACACAGATTTACTGAGCAGGTGCAGTGCTGGACAGAGATACAATGAAACAGGTGTGATGACAAATATAGGTAGAAGGGTAGCTGGTTCTAATCAGATATATTGATGAGTTAAATTTACTAAATGGTCAACAAATATTTATTTTTAATATCATTATGCATTTATTATATAATTGTAAAATATAAACTTGGCATATCACAAATATAAAACGGGCAAATAAAAATAGTTATATAAACACTCTAGCACGATACATGGATTGCACTAAAATGGGTATTTTAGAAAACTAAGGAGTGGGGTGAATTGTTGTTCAAATAACCAAGGTGGAAAAATGGCTGGATATTTAAAAAAAAAAAAAATTCACAACTCATTTTTTTTTTGGGGGGGGAGGGCTTAAAATGTATCTCCAATTCCCAGGTTAATCCCAGTGGTCTAGAAGTACGTCCATGTATGCCCTTTTATCTATTTACAAAGCGTTAAAAGAAATCTCCATTCATTACTATAAACATGCATACATGTTCCTGGCAGAGCTGTATATCAGATTCATGCATCTAAAGATTGAATATTCCACCTGTGTAGAGATCGTCCATAAACCAGAGCAAGCAACGTTTCTGTATCAAGTATCTGAAAATTATTTAAAAAGAAATAAATAATTTGATAACTTACAATTTACGGATTATTTAATAATCTTGTTCTGTATTTAAACCCATTAAGGGATGGACAGTGCAAAGTGGAATTAAGAGTATTAGACTGTTTAAACAGAACCTGTGTTACACATAGCCCCCTGTGCAGACCCCCCTCATTTAACTAATCCTCTTGTAATTCCATATTTGCCCTCTCTCTGTCAGGCAGAACAGCAGCAAAGGGGGTGGGGGGTGAACATACGATAATCTTTCTGTCGCGTGACTGACTGTGCATTGTGTTAAAATACAATATAAACTGCTGATTGAGTGGCAGATAAATCGAACCAGTACTAGAGGGTGTGAGGGCACAATGATACCTCTGAATTTAGGGAGAGATTGTTAAAGCTGTAGCAGTATTTTAGAGGATATGCTATACGTGAGCACAACAAGTTAAGGAGGCTTTTCAAGGGTTAAAAAAAAAAAAACAAGAAAAAAAAAAACCTGAATGCAAATCTAAGTGACATTTTACAGACTTATTTGGGTCTTTTTATCTTTATTACATATGTCTCTTAAATGATAAGAAATAATACTTGCTTAATATTTTCCTCCTTAGGTGGGGTCAGAGAGTTCCCACGGGGCACAGTCTCTTCTGACTGAGCTGATCTTGCGCCGTATTTCTTCGACACCACAAAACCTCACGGCTTTTGAGGAATCTGTTCCCAAGTCATTCATGATCAGTTCAGACATGGCACATGCTGTGCACCCCAACTACATGTAAGTAGGTTTGGATGGCCTAAACGCGGAAGAGCAGGTGTAAAAATATAAAAAAACTTGCTTTAGATTCATACAGCACACAGGACAGATTATGTTTGCTTCTATGAACCCATTCTTTATACAGAGTAGTCAAGAGAATGGGATCTACAGAACTAAACTTGTACTTAGTTACACTTTGTATTAGATTAGCGTGTCTGGGGAAATGTACTAGCAAGCACTGGGATTTCTATTAATTGTGAGCTTTATTTTATTAAATCAACAGTGCTTCAGGCTTGTTTTATTTTCAGCATGTTAATAATTTGCATAATTAAGCAGCATTTTTATCACCGCTGCAACTTTCTGTATCCAGCCCTTGCTATCTTTAGACCTCCCATAATATCCCTTTTTATTTAGACGTAGAATACAATAGAGAAATAGAATTGCTTGATGTATTTGGTTCTAGATCCGTATAAATTATAACCAGGTTTTAGTGTCCGGGTCATTGAAAGCTTGCATTCAGTAAAGTCCTAGCCTGAATCCTTTAAAGTGAGGCTTGCCTCATCTCTAGCCCACCTGTTATTGCTTTAAGACTCCAATAATTCTCTGTCAGCCCGTAGCAACACTTAGAATCACCTGCATTGCTTATAGTAATGTAAAGAGCCAACAGTGTTTGGTAAGAGATGTGCAGCCACTATTGGCAGTATTATAATGGAAGGTTGTAAATTAACTAACAGGGATGTAGAATACTGTCAATGGGAGAACTGGTTTAGCTTTATCCAGTAAAGTGTCTGTCTGTTCTACAGGGATAAACATGAAGAAAACCACCGACCCCTCTTCCACAAGGTGAGGTTCTTTGTAATGTGTCTTGTGAATGTCAGAAGTTTCATTTTGCTTTTTTTTAAAAAAAATTATTTATTTTTTTATCGCTTTCTTTCCTTCTGTCTGTCTTGCAAATCCTTTAATCTCAGGGACAATTCAAACTGAACTGTCAAATTTCTTTTTAGGCTGAACTGAACCCAGCTCACCTGGGAAATGTTTCCAAATTCGCTGTTTTGGTCTAATTTCAAATTTACTTAAAAGGACACTAGAAGCACCCATAATACTTCATCTCATTGACGTGGTCACCTTAGCAGCAGCAAAAATTGCAGCCACTAGAGGGTTAAGACTGCCTCTAGTGGCGGTTTACCAGACAGCCACTAGAGCAGCTTTCTGGCCTTTCAGAGTTTGACTCTGTGAAATGATGATTGCATGAGGACGTCCAGTGTCTTCGAATAAACCTATAGTAAAGCATTGAGTCTGAGGAAGGCCTAATGGGTGTGTTGCACTTGCAGCGTATGCGCATTCGGTTCCCCCATCAGCTGACGGCGGAGTAGGAGCCCAACCCAGCACCTAGTAAATGGGGGTGGGGGGGGCGAGATGGTTATTTAATCTTTTTTTACTTGTTGTGTGTTGGGGTGGGTCGGCGAGGGTGGGTCAGGAGTAAGTGGGACCTTTTAGTGTTTGGAATACATCTTTGTATTTTTAACACTATCTTTTTCTTCAAAAAACGACTGTCTCTTTGAAAATATTTTTAAAATAATAATCCTTTCATCAAGTTTTGAAAGGGAATAAATTTTTTTTTTTTCTATTTTTTTTAATGTAGTATATGTAGTAAAAAAAAAAAAAAAAAATTTGAAATACGTATCCCTAATTTTAGTAAATGACCAGATCCATCAGCCATATACATACACCTTGGGTCAGACAGTGTTTGATAACCGTTCGTCTCTATGGTCTTCCCTGCTTCACTCCCTGCACAGTGCAGTGGCATCATGACACCCCACTAACTGACCCAAGGTGTATGTATATGGCTGAAGGATCCGGTCATATAGTGAAAGCAGGGATGAGTTTATTTTTTTCTCATTTTTAGATTTTATATATATATGTGCTTCATTTTGAAAAGAAAATAATAAATATGTATATGTGACGGTAGAAATTGATTTTCCAAACTATGCATGGCTAGCATGATAACTCCGTAGCACCCTCTGTTGATGTAATCTTGTCTGCAACACTTCTAAAGAACTTGCTGATGCCTTGTGTTAAGAAAAATTATATTATTTCTCTAAACAGATCTAAATATTTTATTTTTAGGGTCCTGTCATTAAAGTGAACAGCAACCAGCGCTACGCCTCAACCGCTGTGACAGAGGCTGTCCTGCGGGAGATTGCCGGACGTGTTGGAGTGCCCCTGCAGGTTGTATGCTTCCATAACTGCCGCGTTTTGATTAGTGTTTGTTCCATACATACATACATACATATACTAAAAATCTGGCCATATGTCATTCAAATAATCTCTTTTTAATTAGACCAATTTTTTATTTGCAAAAATACCGACCTAAAGAGTTTTTTTGGGGAACTATTAAAAAAAAACTGGTACAAATCATGATATACAAACAATATACTGAACTAATTTGTATCTAAATAAAATAATAAACTCTGTTACTTTTGTTGCAATAAAAATACAGGATTTAATAGTAATGTGCCAGAATGTACATAAATAAATGTACAGCCAGGTAGAACACCAACTGATAAAAGGAACTCTCAGAATTTTATGGCGTGACGGTCCTCGTGGTCATTCCATGGGCTAAATATGACAGCAGAAATGGGTTCTTATAATTGCGCTGTTTTTACAGGAATTCATGGTGAGGAATGATGTGCCATGTGGTACAACCATTGGGCCCATTCTGTCGAGTAACCTGGGCCTGCGGGTGCTGGATTTGGGCTGTCCACAGCTGGCTATGCATTCCATCAGGGAGATGTGCTGCACCTCGGGGGTCCTACAGACTACCTCCCTGTTTCAGGTAATGTAATATTCAGACCCCTTCTGCTTTCTATATTAACCACTGCAAACCGGCACCAGTCCATCCTAAACATCTTGTGTGCTCCTGTGTTCTAATGGCATGGATATATGGGTGGTACTCCTGAATCAGGAAATAAATTCATACTTTATGCAGAATTATGAAGGTAGAATACCAATAAAAGAGCGTTATTGGGTTTGATGTTGCAGCATAACCCGCCCTCCCCCCTGCTGGGCAAATTGACTTCTTGGAGTTTAAATGGAGTTCTTTCTGTAAAATCACTAGGATGCACATACACATAGAAGGGTGCACAAAATTAAAGGAAAAACAACGTAAACAAGGGTTTAACTTGTGCTGCTGCCAAGGTGAGTATTGGTAAACGGTCTGCCCATGCCAGTTAGCAGCATGTGTCCACTAGAAGTCTGACAATTAACACTGTGATAGTTGATTATCCAAAGGAACACAAAATAATGGGATGGATGTTAAATGCCAAGAAAGCACAATTCTAGAATAAACACTGAATGGAATCCGCACATAGGTGTCACTGTCTGGTCACGGTATAGGAATACGGCTGAAGGCAGAAATTGTTAAAGTGGAATTAGACCTAGAGTTACACATAGGAGAGCTGCTAAGAAAGAGGGAGTTGCAGGGGCCTCCAGCCCAAAGGTGAGGCCTTGTAGCCCCGAATCTCTTCGACTGCTTCTCCTTTAGGAGTCACGGATTACCATAACGGGATGCAGATTATCTCATTTGTGACATATTTACTACTTCTCCAACAGTTATTTACTAAAAATCCAAATTGCAAATGTCAGGTTAAAATAGTCGAACTGTGCCGGTAGCTGAATTGGAGAATTTCTACAGATTAGCTATTTTCATTTTTGGATTTCCATTCAATACACTTCCGTTTCAGTGCCAAGTGAATAAACTACCAATAAGCTCCCTAATTTGTTAATGCTATGTTGCGGAGTTATGTGCTAAGCTGCTGAAATTTCAAAATGAAGAAGGCCGCTTTTGTTTAACAGTTTAATGGATAACGCCCTAATTTGATATTATGTGGGATTTCCATATTTAAGGATATTGATACATTCACCATTATGTACATGATATTAAGGGGAGGAGTTGGGTGAGGGTTTAGGACAAGGTCACCAAATGGCTTTTGGACTTAACCCCTTGTTGCTGGTTTATTTTAATTTTATTTTTTCACTCTTATGCCTTGGGGGGGTGGTGAACTGTGCCAACAGAAGAAGTCTCAGTGATAAATAATTCTTAGCTCAACCCACCTGAAGCAAAGAGTTACTGAAAACAACTGTGAGCAGAGTGGGTAACGAACGTGATTTAACTTGAAAACTGAAACTTGGTCCAGTTGGGATCGGGTAATCCTTAGAATTGAATAGTTATGTTGTAACCTACGTTAAATATGTCTCCAGTCCATCACATTCAACTTGCAAAGCTTGATGTTCAGTTTGTAATACACCACAAAGGACAACATATTATCCAGCCGGGGGACCAACATACTGAGTGGACAGGGCAGATTCAAACTACATTTTGTGACCCAATATCCTCAAGAATTGTTCTTTGGATATAACAGAACTGCTATTTAAAGTTACAATTCTAAGATATCTTGTATCTGGTGCATGACTTGGTGTAAGAAGATCACAGCTCTGATCCCTTGGGAATGAAAAGAAAGACCTTATTCCCTACATCCTACCTTGTCTGACAGCCATTGTAATTAATGAGGGATCCACAATGATAAGGATGGCTTTCTCATCAATCATTGGGCCCAATCATTACAGTGATTGCGGTGTGTAATCGTTTACTGGCCAAGGAATACAATTCAATTCTACAGGATCAGGTGCACTATAACCAGCAAATTACTGTTCCTTCATAGTCCTGTATTACAGGATGCTAATAGCTCCATACACAATGCCAAACAACGGTTGGTGGAATTATAGACGCCTTGAAGTCAAACATCTGCCGTGTACCCAGTAGGCAGATCTAAACTTCACACTCTCTGGAGTCTGTTATTTCCCATAAAGGAACAGTAAAGGAAATTCTGATCTTTCATTTCTCAAAGCTGGAGGCTCTTCGTGAACGATGGAATATCCCATTTAACACAGTTCAAAATCTATATGACATAATTTAAAAAAACTCTGAATTTGTTCTGACAGTAAAGACAGACTATACTCCTTACTCTCACTGGCTTGGAGAAAACTAGCCCTGAGTGTGACATGGGCGCTTCTACCAATGGAGAACCTGTCTGTTTCTCTGAAACAGCCATTTAATAAAGCTATATAACCTGGGTAATGTGAATTGACATTGGAGCCACTGGTCTGCATGGAGCCACTGAACGTTCCTCATAGAGATGCATTGATTCAATGGATCTCTATGAGGAGATGCTGATTGGTTAGGGCTGTGTTTAACTTGAGCTAGCTCTGCCCCGATCTGACTCATTGACACTCTCAGTGAATCCAATGGAAAGCATTGTGATTGGCTCAGACCACCACTTCTGATGTCAGCAGGCAGATCAGGGGCAGAGGCAGTAGTTGCAGACGTGAATACAAGTAAGATTTTACTATATTTAGGGAGGCCAGCAGAGGCTGGATGGTGGATTTAACACTATAGGAAATATGTTTGTGTTCCTGATCCTTTTAATTTTTATTTTACAATTCAATAGATGAACCCATATTGAAAACATTAATTTATTGCCGCTTTCCTTGCTCCCCTCCCCCCTCTCCCCTCCCTCCCTCTACTGACCGGGAACAAGGGTGTATATCTATGAGCACCTTGTCAAAGCATCAGTTCTCTTGTCTGCAGCCACCGCAAGCTTTTCCCTTTTTCCAAAACCCAGACTTTCTGTGGCTGTCTAATCACATACTTCCCAACGCAGCTCAATGAGAAGCAGGTGCTCTGGGTAATTGCTGCTTATTGAGTTTAGCTTCAGTGAGCTAACCAAACCAGGAAGTAACAGAACTTGTTGTCTGACAGACAGGGTGATGTAATAAGGTTAATTTATAAAAATGAAAAAAAAACAGAAAATCTGCGCTTGTGGGAAAAATAGTAAAAAACAGTCTGTATTCCCAACACTTTAGAGATCCCCTCCTCTTGCGTGCCATAAAAATAACAAATTAAAGCTTTCTACTTGCCTTTTTCTTGCTTTCTTTGGGGCCGCATGTGCGCCAATCAAACTTTCCAAAAACATTGAATCAACGTTTACCTATGAGGGCTGAACGTCATGTGACTGCGTTTTAGAAATGCATCTATTGGCTGTAAGTGTAACATCCACTGGAGGTTTGTTTAAAGAGACACTATAGGCACCCAGACCACTTCAGCTCATTAAAATTTTTCGAGAAACTGCCATAATTACATTGCAGAACTAAGACAGCCTCTACTGTCTGTCAATCCGACAGCCACTAGAGGCGCTTCCTGCTTGCCAGGCAACTTTTGGATGCCTAACCGACGCTGCACTTCAGCGTCGGTGAAATCCACATAGGAAAGCATTGCTGCAATGCTTTCCTAAACGGTGGGCCTAATCCAATCGCTGTGCATGAGCCCCCCCATGACATCGGAGGTGGTGGAGTACCGAGGGACATCTACGCTGGATTCGGTTAAGAGTTAAAATTTTATGGTTTAACCAGTTACATGCTGTGGGGACTATAGTGTAAGGAATACAACTTTAACCATTCAAGGTAAACATTGCCATTTCTGGAAAACAGCACTGTTTTACTTTGAGGTTTTAAAATGACAGGACCACTTAATGCATATAAAGTGGCCTTGATAAATTTAGTGGTGCTTTTAAGCTTGTAAAAGTGGTGTGTGGAAGGAGAGAGGTAAAGTGGATGAACAGGGTTGTTGTAATGAAAGCGTAATACGACAAAATAGGGCATTCCCTAGGCAGTCAATGTGGCACAGCCTTGTTATTGTTTTTATTTATAATGCGCCAACAAATGCCACGGCGCTGTACAACGAACCTTGTAACTGTCTTCCTGATTCCCAGTGCTGCAAGTATTACAATGTTGAGATGGGAGGGGTGGCACGGTCAGTTAAGCTCTGCAGTGCATTTACAAATCTGCAAGTGACTCCTGTCTGCACCCCTCTCTTGTGAGCTATAATTACTTGCTGCACTCCCTGTATGTATCCGTTCCCAGGTAGCTCACTGTCCTGCTGGACCCAAACTGTGACTATAGCAGAGTTTGAGAAAAATGTCCAAACCTGCCAATACAGCTCAAATTTGTGATAATGGCTTTTTTTTTAAAAAAATCATTACAATTCAGTGCTTGGTGAATAAATCCCCTACGGTCTTCTTTTCTGCATCCATATAGTCCTCCGTGTTTTTAGGTTGTAAAACACGTTTTATGATGCTTATTCACCAACTTGAATACAATGAATTGTCATGAAATGAGAATGTTGGTTAATTTACGCACAGGGGACATTTTTATCAGCAAGGTGACAATTATCAATTAAACATACATATAAAGGCACAGTCCTCATTAACTGCTACTAATGTATTCTCAAAGGGAATCCACGGATAAAAATTGCCTTCTTTAACCTGTATGTATGTATGTATGTATGTACGTACGTACGTACGTACGTACGTACGTACGTGTATGTCTATATTTTTTTTATTTGAGAAAGTTCTAATGACATTCATCTTCATTTTCACGGTTTGCTTATTTTCTAAATATTTCTCTAAATGCAGCTTGGTTCTTTTTAGAACCATTTTAGAATAATATCTATTCTCTTTTAATATTCTTCTCAGAACACTGGTCTGTTGTACATACTACACCTGTATTGTATTCTGACTTGGATACCGGTGCAAATATTGTAATCCGCACCCAGTCCATCCTGACGCACTCTCTTAGTTGGGCGTTTTATACAGCCGAGTCTTGATGTTACCAACCTTATCTACATTAACCTTCAATCTTCAGATCTGCCTACTTGTGATTTTTTTTTATTTTTTTATTTTATTTTTTTAGGGGAACGGACGTCTGTTTTGAGCAGATTATTTTTAGTTTATTTTTTTTGCTTTTACTAGAATTCCCTGCCTGTTTGTGTGCATTTATGTAAATGTGTATTCATGCGATTTTTCATAGTTTTTTTTTTTCTGTTGGGTCTTATGTGTTTGGTAATAATTGTATGTGTACTTATAGCTTATTGGCTGTTTCTATAGCAACCCACATTGGCCTTGAAGTCACTGCCTGGTTGCTGTAGCAACAGCAGGCATCAGGTTAGTCAAGTGGTTGCTATGACAAAACCAGGACACTGCTAATGAGGAATAGGACATATTGGCCTATAGGATGATATAATGGTTTCCGTGGCTACATGAGCCCACCTTCACCAGTAATCAAGACTGATCGTATTCTGTCTGATCTCCTGGGCATAACCTTTTCTGGTCCTCCATTCTCCCTGCATCTTGCACATGACTATTCTCGTTACATTTCATTTGCAAGAGAGAGTGTTTATATTGTTTAATGTTACTGCATCCGATTTTTATCTGTTTGAGATGTGCTATTAATCACGACCGTCACCACCTCCAGCCTATTCTGCATTGGTTGTTAACTGTAATAAATGCAAACTTTTATTTAAATATTTCTATTGATAATTGGTAAGAATCTCTGATTCTCATCCCTCCAGCTCCCAGGTCTTCTTTTATAGGACTGTTTACAATATAAACACAGCTGAGCGTTACTTTTTTCCAAAATAATTCTACTTAAATTCTACACTCTGTTCTCTATCTGATGTGTATAAATCTTGCTCAAAAGACCTAGGTGAAATCCCTGCTTGAGCACAGAGCTCACCCCGCACACACACACACACACACACACACACACATATTTCTGTAATTTTATAATAATTCTATGTATTTCTCTTTGTGATATTCTGATTATTGTATTGGGCGTTCTACTCTAGTTGACAGTTTGAAATGACAAACTTCTTAAACGAAGATCAAACTAGCCAGGTTTACAGCCGTCAATGCAGTCCAATTTGCTGTTTAGAGAGTAAATCCCATGGTATTACAATTTAGGGCCTACCGGTACTTTTATTAAACTAATGAGTAAAATATTCAAGTTGTGACTCTGACTGTGTTGGTAAATAAACATCCTGTCTTGTTTTGTTGGTCTAATATCTTTGTTTTTTGTTATTTTCCAGGCATTTTTTGAACAGTACCCTTCCGTGAATAGCAGTTTGCTGGTGGACTAAGCCCTTATAAGCAAACACACTGATCCCTGTTACCCACGTAATCAGTGTTGCGTTGGTGGATTAAGACATGTCATATCTGCAAAATAAAACCCATTTTCTGTAGTTCCGTGGTTTTCTGTAATAGTGCGTAAAAATGGCCAACATGGGATACGTAGATTTTAAACTATATAATTTTGCTTTCCTTTTCCACTTATTTTGTACTGTCCGATAACTGCTGCCATATCGGGGCGGTTTATCTAATGTACAAGCCTCTGTTAACGTTACCATAGAATATATATATAATATCTATCTATCAGGGATGTGTCCTTTTCCTGTTAGTTTCCTTATGTTCCCAATGCATATTTTGTTAGAACAAAAAATTTATTTGAACAATATTTAACCATTTGAGTGCCAGGTCCCCAAGAACACTGAGTATCCTCATTAATTTTGAAACCTACAAATATTTTAATAGGATAGGTAATTCCTTTGCAAATGTTCAAAACGATTTTATTTAGACAGATGTATAAATACCAGTGTGGTACATTTTTAGAAGGCTTTGCTCCCTTTGTGTTACGTAATCAGTAGGCACCATACACGTCATTGTGAGTTTTATTGCTGTGGTACATGTACACAAACACACTGTGAGTCATGCTGGTGTGGAGCTCTGTGATACTTACAGCATGTTACTGGGTTATTGCAGTAGAGCTCTGTCATATACTTCTACACTTTTATTTTTGATTTTTTTTTTTTTTTTATGTGGAGCTCTGTGATACTCGTGTTTTCAATATATCACTGTGCGTTTTTTATTGCTGTGAACCTCGGTGATGCACTTTTACACACTGAATATTAAAATGAGCTTTTTATTGTGAATCCTATATACAAGACATTGTTGGGAGTTGTATTGCTGTGAAGTTCTGTGATAGTCATACACCCTCACATTGCTGTGTTGTATTGGTATTGACAACTGTGAAACCTTTATACAAAAAAAAAAAAAAGAAAACCACAAAAAAGCTCCTTAAAGACGAAAAAAATAACAAAGCAGAGTACTGGGATTTAATGCACCGTATAATATGGACTAGACTTATACAAAAATTTGTTTTGGATACTTCGTCTGAATCAAATTTCTATTAATGCTCACCCGAACCAATCGATCGTCTGGTATTTAGCTGTGCAGTCATATTTAATGTATAAAAGTCCCAGACAATCAATTTGTCCGGGTGTGCATTAGAAAGAATTGGATTTGGATAATTTTTTTTTTTTAATTTTTTTTTTTTCAAGTCTAATGAGGACATTTGAGTTAGTGCTGCTCAGGAGTCTGGCAATTGAATGGTTAATGCTAAACTTAGTAATAGTAAAGACTTGCAAGTGAGTTTGTCAGACTAGCTAGCAGCACACGGGTTAAATAATGTGGCCTGTCTGTTTTCTGGCAACCTCAGGCTACCATTATTAACTTCTGCACCATTTCAGCTTCTGAGCATGGGGAAACTGTCACCAAGTCTCAGATTTCCACCCTGAGGAAAAAATGTCATATCTGCTCCCGATTCAGGTCTCTCAAGTCTCCCATTTAGAATGGTTCTCAGTCACTGGAATAAGCCAGACCTTCTCATATCCATGGATATGTGTGCTCAGCCCGCGGGTGCTAATTATTACATTTGGAATTAAAATAAATAATTATGCTATGCTGGAGTTCATGTGTGAGTTTTTTTTTTTTTGAGGGGGGGGTGGTGGGGGGATTTATTTATGATGATGGATATAAATTTTTTAAATATTAAATCTATATTTTGTATCTGTTCAAGATCTATAGAGCATTGAGTCTTATCCTTTGGGGAGGGAGACCTACATTCTATCTATGGCCCTAACTTACAGACCTATAGTTTAGTTGAAAAATTAGCTCATTAACCTGTTATTCAATTTTTGGAATCTATAACAAAATTAATTGTGAAACATCCTTCCTTTCAGAGCATTGTTTAGAATGTATCTTAATTTGATCAAGTGCTTAGTGCTAGATAATTATGCAACGGATGCTTTAGAATTAGAGTGGATAAATGATAGACATCCCGACCTTTTGAAGAACTTCAAACCCTGATGGTAGCCTTGAAATAGGCAGAGTATGATGAGATTTGTAGTTCTACAACAGCTGTGAATCAGCCTGGTTACCTCGAGAAGGATCATTATCCCACTGCAATGGAACAATTCAGGGGATGTAGACAGAACAAAATTAAGACATATCTCTGTGTGATTGTTTTAAGAGAGCATCTTACCTGTTTTAAATCTATCATTTATAACACTTTCACATGAAGTTCTAGCAAGATGGCTTGTGAGCTTACAATCTAGGCTAGGGAGAAAAGAGACGCTCCCTACATGTTCAGCTGTGAGACTTCTAGTCTAGCCCATTATACTTTGTAAAGGTTTGTTTAAGCAAATGCCCACTTTTGAATCCACTAAAGAATTATGGGAAATGTAGTAGTGGAAGATTAATCTTGGACACACCTGGTCTGAACTTGCACAGCAACGGGTCATGGGATGCTGGTCAATTTAACTTGAAGCTCAGCTGCAACTGGGATAAGCTGAATGACTAAGGGTCCCTGCCAACACCTCCGCCTCTATCCCTCCCTGGACCCACCACAGCCTTGTTTTAAGTTATGTGGACCAGCTCCCTCACAAAACGTTTTGTTTTTCTTCTTTCTTAAACCATAAAATGGTTTAAAAGGGACACTCCAAACACCTAAACCACATACTGAAATGTTTTATTTGTGAAGAATTTGTCTTTTTTTTTTTTTTTTACAAAATGCAGAATTCAATAGAAAATGTGCACTTTTATAAATTATTTTAACAAAAATAAATTATTGCTCAGTGGAGCTAAACTCAAAAGGCAGCAATTGCAAAGACTCCCAATGAGCTGCACATGGAAGTCTGTGATTGGACAGCCACAGCAAGTTTGGGTTTGGGGAAAAAGGGAAGGGCTTGCAGTGGCTGCAGACAAGAGACCTAAAGCTTCTAAAGGCTGTTTTTAGATATATCCCCAATAAAAAAAATGCATAATTAAATGCATGCTTGTTTTCATTGGGTATATATTTATTAAATAGTGGGGGAAGTGGGGTTTACCATGTGTGCTGGTGTTCGACACCAATTTTGCACAGAATTGATTTTATCCAACCCAGAACTTTGTATTAAGCTGGCTAACGACACTGTCAGAGGTTACATCTCTGGCAGCTAAGGCTCTGTATACAAAGAAACCTGTGACTCGATGTGTATGTGATATGCCCACATCTAAAACAAGTGCAACACCTAAAAAAAATAAAATACATTTACCCCTCACAGTGAAATGGGGGTGAACATACAGGAAAATAAAAATTCTATTGTATTGTATATTTTATATATGTTAAAATAAACAAAATATTGCACATTTTGTTACTCGGTTAATCTCTAGATTTGCAGCATTTCACTACATAAAGGCTCTAGACACCATGACCATAACCGTATATCAATGAAGTGGTTATGGTGCTTGGAGTAACCCTTTAAGACCCTTTCCAACCGGCCATGCTCTGGGTTTGGTGACCAGAGATCTCCCCAGTCAGAAAAGCGTAACTCCTCCCATATTAGAGCAGGGGCGGCGCTAGGGGCGGCCAGACAGGGCCACGGCCCTCCCTACTTTATGCAGTGCCCCCCCCCTTGTGCCCCCCAATTGAAATCGCAGTCAGGAGCTCTGAGTCTCCCTTTACAAGCTGCAGCAGCACTGTCACTGCCCTTTATCCACGTGCGGCCAGAGGGGGCGCTGTGCTGGGAGGACTACCTGCTGGATCATAGAGAGCAGCGCAGGGGAGGGACAGGGAGAGGAAGCTCAGCTCTGCACAGAGGTATCCAGGCAACTGCTGGTAAGTGGGAGTCAGTGGGGGTGGGGAGGTCACTGTGTGTGTATGTATGGGGTCAGTCTGTTTATGTATGGGTCAGTCTGTGTGTGTATATATGGGGTCAGTCTGTGTGTGTGTGTGTATGGGGTCAGTCTGTGTGTGTATGGGTCAGTCTCTGTGTGTATGTATGGGGTCAGTCTGTGTGTGTGTGTGTATGGGGTCAGTCTGTTTATGTATGGGTCAGTCTGTGTGTGTATATATGGGGTCAGTCTGTGTGTGTGTATGTATGGGGTCAGTCTGTGTGTGTGTGGGGGTCAGGCTGTGTGTATGTGGTCAGTCTGTGTATGTATGGGGTCAGTCTATGTGTATGGGTCAGTCTGTGTGTATGGGTCAGTCTGTGTGTGTGTATGGGTTAGTCTATGTGTGTGTGTGTGTGTGTATGAGTCAGTCTGTGTATGTATGGGTCAGTCTGCGTGTGTGTATGGGTCAGTCTGTGTGTGTGTATGGGTCAGTCTGTGTGTGTATGGGTTAGTCTGTGTGTGTGTGTATGGGGTCAGTCTGTGTGTGTGTGTGTGTATGGGTCAGTCTGTGTGTGTATGGGTCAGTCTGTGTGTGTGTGGGGAGTGCAGTCTGTGTGTATGGGGTCAGTCTCTGTGTATGTATGGGTCAGTCTGTGTGTGTATGGGTTAGTCTGTGTGTGTGTATGGGTCAGTCTGTGTATGTATGGGTCAGTCTGTGTATGTATGGGTCAGTCTGTGTGTGTATGGGTCAGTCTGTGTATGTATGGGTCAGTCTGTGTGTATGGGTCAGTCTGTGTGTGTGTGGGGGAGTGCAGTCTGTGTGTATGGGTCAGTCTGTGTGTATGAATTTTTCAGGTCAGTCTGTGGGTCAGTCTGTGTATGTATGGGTCAGTCTGTGTGTGTATGGGTCAGTCTGTGTATGTATGGGTCAGTCTGTGTGTATGGGTCAGTCTGTGTGTGTGGGGGGAGTGCAGTCTGTGTGTATGGGTCAGTCTGTGTGTGTATGGGTCAGTCTATGTATGGGTCAGTCTGTGTGTGGGGGAGTGCAGTCTGGGTGTATGTATGGGTCAGTCTGTGTGTGTGTATATGGGGTCGGTCTGCGTGTATGGGTCAGTCTGTGTGTATGGGTCAGTCTGTGTGGGTTTGTATGGGTCAGTCTGTGTGTGTGGGGGGGAGTGCAGTCTGTGTGTGTGTATGGGTCAGTCTGTGTGTGTGTATGGGTCTGTGTGTGTGTGTGGGTCAGTCTGTGTGTGTATGGGGTCAGTCTGTGTGTATGTATGGGTCAGTCTGTGTGTATGTATGGGTCAGTCTGTGTGTGTGTGTGTATGGGTCGGTCTGCATGTATGGGTCAGTCTGTGTGTGTGTATGGGGTCAGTCTGTGTGGGTTTGTATGGGTCATTCTGTGTGTGTGGAGGGGAGTGCAGTCTGTGTGTGTATGGGTCAGTGTGTGTGTGTGTGTATGGGTCAGTCTGTGTGTGTATGGGTCAGTCTGTGTGTGTGTGTATGCGTCAGTCTGTGTGTGTGCGTGGGTCAGTCTGTGTGTGTGTGTGGGTCAGTCTGTGTGTGTGTATGGGTCAGTCTGTGTGTATGGGTCAGTCTGTATGTGTATGGGTCCAGTCTGTGTGTGTGTGTGTATCGTCAGTCTGTGTGTGTCGTGGGTCAGTCTGTGTGTGTATGGGGTCAGTCTGTGTGTGTGTATGGGTCAGTCTGTGTGTATGTATGGGTCAGTCTGTGTGGGGTGGTGCAGTCTGTGTGTATGTATGGGTCAGTCTGTGTATGTATGGGTCAGTCTGTGTGTGTGTATGGGTCAGTCTGTGTGTGTATGGGGTCAGTCTGTGTGTGTGTATATGGGGTCAGTCTGCGTGTATGGGTCAGTCTGCGTGTATGGGTCAGTCTGTGTGTGTGTATGGGGTCAGTCTGTGTGTATGGGTCAGTCTGTGTGG